GGGGCGGGGAGGCGGGAAGGAGCGGGGCCCGGCCGTGCGGGGCGAGGAAGCGCACTCCGACTGGCACACAAACCCTGGCCCCAGACGCAGAGCTGCAGCCTCATGTTAATCACGTCCGCCCCAACAGCCGATTGTTCTAAGAGGCTGCTTCTTGGAAGAACGCGACGGCGACGGCGACGGCGACGGTGGCGGCGGCGGTGACGGAGATGGAGGTGGGCGACCGTTGTCGCTCTGACCGCGGGCCGTGACGTCGCAACGGCCACTCGGCGCCGCCGCGCTTTCACGGTGGCTTTGCTTTTCGATCGGCCTTCCAAGTTCAAAGAGCGGAATATTTGGAACAGACGCCAACGGGAATAATATTTGGAAGAAAATGTCGTCGGAAATGCTGTCGTTGACAATAAGCGCCAATCAATGCTTCTTTCAATGTTTGCACGGTAATAATAAGTTTTCTTGTTCATTTGAAATTAAATTATAATGCAAATATCTTTGATTAATAGACTCTATTTACAAGACAGGTTCAGGTCCAGAAATCCTTGCAGAACCTCTTTTAGATATACACTTTATAATAATATAATAAGAAGCACATAATTTAAAGTATTTACTTATTTAATTTATACTTAAGCTTCGGTGTTTACATTTTGATTCTTTTGTAACTGAATAAATTGTGTCGCATCAGTGAGAGAACTAAGAAAACTTTGTAGATATATTGAGCAAATGATGAAATCTTACTCATAAGTTATCTAATGTAAACCATTTTAACAAGAAAAATAGGTGGTCGCAATGAACCAAATCGTTCGAATCTCACTAATAATTTGTAATCAGCATCGGCAAAAATTTCATGAGCATTCTACGATAAATTCGCTCACATTCAATTTATTCGTTTTGGCAAATACAGCTTTCTTTCTTTCTTTCTTTTGAAAATGTTCATTTGAATCCAAACATTTTTAATGGAGACAATTGATATAGTGTTTGGACATTGAAATGATGAAATATCATATAAAACATTACCGGCTAATGAATGGTACAAGTACATATTGTACATTGTTTTTCAATAATAAAATTTCAGCAATGCGATATCAATCTAAAAAGTATACGATCAAACTTGATTTCCTTCCTTCGGACTGCTTTCTGAGTACGGCGAAAGAACACAAGCACTTCCTGGACTCCGAAAAACAAAGGACTATTGTTCTAGAACCGACAGAGAAATTGAAATAAAAAGTCGATCGGGATGAGACTCTGTCATAACCACTTCAATCGTGTTTAGAGAGTAAACAAGCAGACATTTACACAAAATTCTCTTTTTTATTTACTTTGTAGGTCGCTTTTTAACAACTTGGTCATATAGCGACTACAGTGATTGTTTTAACTGTAGGGAGAACTGTAGGAATAAGACGCAAGGACAACACGAACACACACAAACAGTCATGCCCGAGGCGGAATTTGAACCCGCGACCCTTCGAGCCGAGGCAGCTACCTCAGCCTTAGCGACCTCGGTTTTCCAGGCTGGCAAAAATGATCTTTTGTTTGATACGATACGAATGGTATACAGATACTAGACACGTTTCACGTTAACAAAACAGAAGCCAGACATACAAATATTTTTATATCGATTCTCTTAAAAATACAGAATGCTCAATTTGGAAATGTCAGTTAGACTGATGAACGTGTTATTACCTCGAAAACACAATTTTTAGAGTAACAATGGAAAAATTATCGCACTAAGCACATGAAATGTTTAATCCTTCCTAATTAAAAGCTACAGTTTTCTCAAGAGAGCACCATGGAGCCGGGTTTTACTTGATTGATTGATTATCACTGATTCCGGGCACGTCAACGACTAAGGTCATTAGTCCCGTAAGTGTAGTGCATATTTCTCCCTGAAAATGGCGGTGATCTTCCTACGCTGGATGGTGAGATCCGGCGCCGATCTACCGTCGGCTAGAAGGATTTTTCTCTAACAAGGTATCTCCCAACAGCGGGGCACCGCCTCTAAATACACGATCAATCTCCCGGCGTATGTGGTAGTATTGTGCATGTTAGTGTAAGCGTGTGTAAGAAAAATGTGAGGAACAAACAAGGAAGAGCTAGGAAACATCGCGCGCGGCCCGCGGCCCGTTTGTTAGGGTACTGCTCCAGCATTCGCCTGGTATTGATCGGAGAAACAACAGGAAACTACCGATCACAGCAACCGGCCCCTAGAATTCTTTTAGAGAGAGCAGCTGAATTCAACTTAGCTATGTGGATAGAATAGAATATCATCCTCCGTCGGGGCTCGAACCTAGGACCTCTCGGTCACCATGTAACTGGGCACATGAAAAATTCTATTTCACATTTTAGGATTACTTAAGCCAGTTGCTCTATCAGGTT